AACTCAGTTGCGGAAAGACCCAGCCCCGATTTTGACGTCGATCCCGACTACAGGAGGTCGTGGATGGTGATTGAGCAGCTTCTTCAACGGAACTACGGAAGGGTTTTCTCTATGTGGATCCTGAATCCTTTACCAAATTTCATACTGAAATTCTTTGAATTTTTTGAAATCTTCTTGGAAAATAAGGTGAACTTATTAATCCCACTAATTAGAGTAATCAATAACCTCAAAAAGGGGGTAAAACGTCAAACGTGTTCAAGAAAGAAGGCGAACTTTGAGATAAGGGGATTTGCTTATTTGGAGTCTCCCGTTTGCCGAAAGCCCTTTCAGTTCAATTTATTATTATTTTTTTATTATATTTTTTTTTTGGAAGTAAACGAGAGATCACGTCAGATACAGAATCTGAGAGTTTTTTGTTTAGAACAAGAAAGCTTTTGTTCAGGGAGGAAAACTTATGCAGAAAAAACATCGGACATGTATATTCATCAAGAACAAAGTACTGAATACAGGAAAAATGGTGTAAAGTTATGAATAGTCTTGCTTAACTTGGAGTTGTATTTTGTCGGTGGAGATGTGGCCGTTTTCCGGCAAAAATTGACTCCAAGCAAATTACGGAGCCCTTCCTCTAGCGCCAAACTGTTGATAAACGGATTTGATCAATGAAAATATACACCCCTATTCTGTGAATAATCGGTGTTGGATTAATAATCATTTTTTGAAGATGAAGTTGTAATTTTTTTCTCTTGAATTTTTGTTGGGAAGATGATGAATAGTCCCCTCCTTTCTCTTCTCTCTCCTCACTATATATATACATGCCCTTCTTTACAAGTGGGCCAATTAAAAAATAGGAGAAAAAGTACACTAGTATTTAATGTGAAAAGACATTGTGGGCCCCGATCGTGACACTTGACGGCTTCGAGTGACGTCTACTTTATCGACAGTTATTGTATCTACCGGAGGTGGATCTTCTCGATATTCGGGTTGGGCTGGCGATGTTTAATCCTGCTCGGCTCGAACGTGGACGATCCGGACTTTTCGGAACTCGGTTGATATTAAATAATCAGCTCGGAAAACCTGTTATATTTATATTTATCTAATATACATCCACGTGTCATCTTATTATTAATCCAGGCCAAATTGTGTATCAACAATACAGTTAATATTAGAGAACTGTCAGATCATGTTTATCTGATGTATATATACAATATATTTGAACACATATTTTGTGGTCATTAGGTAGTATATGTACATTATATCTGATTTTCTTTTTATCAAAGGAGATATCACAGAGAACTATTTTATCTGAATTTTTTGCTTTTCAATCCCTGATATCAAAGGAGATTTTGAAGTCATTTAGAATTACGTATTATGTTTTAGCCTGTTTCAATGTTGTTTATATGTTGTTTATCTTACGTATAACTATACGGTAAATTTTCACGTCTTTTTACATGTTGTATAACTTATGTATATATACAGTATATATAAACATATTATCACGATCAATTTCACTAACTCATATTTTGACGGGCGGGCATGATTATTATTTTGGTGGTGAGATAAACAAATTTCTTGAAACGAGAAGCAATAAATTTTGGAGAGAGAAACGAATTTGTAGCTATCATTAATAGCATGATTTTTGTTAATGGCATGTTATTTTGGTGAGAGAAATAGACTTATTGGAAAGAGAAGCATTTGGAGAGAGAAACATATTTGGAGAGATAATCAACCGTGAATTTCGGTCATGATTAATAAATGGAGAGAGAGAGAGAAGATGGTGAGAGAAATTAGGTTCTCGTACATATGAAATTAAAATCACTTTTTTATCTTCTTTTGATTAATAATTTGCAGGATTGTATATATGT